TTTGTAGCCGGGCACCCCGCTCCTCGTCCCGCATGTTCAGGACCAAACGCTCGGTGCTCGTCCGGCGACTCTGGAGGAGCCGCGCTCCCGGCGGGGAGGACGAGGCGGGCGACGCCGCCGCGGACAGCCGGGCGCATGGGGCCGGCGGCGGCCGGGGCTGCTGCATGGGCAAGGCGGGCAAGCTCGGCAAGGCGGCGCTGGGCTCCGAGGCGGAGCTGAAGGCGCTGACCCACGCCGTGCTCAAGAGGCTGAAGGAGAAACAGCTGGAGGGGCTTTTGCAAGCCGTGGAGTCCCGAGGGGGCACCCGGACCTCCTGCCTCCTGCTGCCCGGCAAGGTGGACTCCAGACTGGGTCAGCATTGGTACTCCCTCCCTTTGCTGCTATGTAAAATATTCAGGTGGCCCGATCTCAGGCATTGCTCGGAAGTCAAGAGGTTATGTTGCTGTGAATCTTATGGAAAAACTCATCCAGAGCTGGTCTGCTGCAATCCCCATCACCTTAGCAGGCTCTGCGAACTAGGTACGGAAAACTGGGGTGGGGGGGACACACGAGACACGCGTGTGTGGTCTGTGGGCTGCACACACCGATGTGTATGTGGACTGCACGCAGGCTGCACACACACGGGTGGGCTGTATGGACTGCACACATGTCTGTATGGACTGCACACGCATGGGGTCTGTATGGACTGCACACGCATGGGGTCTGTATGGACTGCACATGCATGGGGTCTGTATGGACTGCACATGCATGGGGTCTGTATGGACTGCACAAAGGCATGTCTAGTCCGCGGACTACACGCAGACATATGGTCCGTATGGACTGAGCGCGCGCGCGTGCACGCACAGGCACACACGTGTGTCTATACGGACCGGGTGGACACTTGTGAGTGTGCACGGGGGTGGGGGGTGCATGGCTGCGTGAGCAGAACATGTCGGGAAGGAAAGAGGAGCTGAGCCGCGGGGTTTGGGAGCGGGGCAGAGCGGGAGGGGGCCTGCCCCGGGGCTGCAGGGGAGGGGGGCGGCTGGGAGAAGTATTCAGGGGGCTTGAACTTGGGGCTTGGCCGAAGGACCCGGGGAGAGGCCCCCGTGCTCCTCCGTTCATACAGAAGTGCCCGGCCGGGCTGGGATGTGCAGGCGCTGGGGGCCAGTGGGTCCCCGTCCCCCCAACAAGAAAACATTTGAGAGCCGCAGCCATGCTGCCGCCTCCTCCAGGCACAGCTTTGTCTCCAAATAAGCGCCAGCAAGCAAAGTTTCGGTGCATTTGCCTGGCCAGCGGCATAAAAGCAAGCCCCGCCCCCCCGGCAGTATTTTTGGTGCCGCTGTTCAGGGCAGCGTGGAGCCCCCGGCCCGGCCGGCTCCCCTCCTCCTTTGGAAAACATGGCAATTACTTGCAAACTTTGCTTAGCTGCTGTAGCAGAAATCGGCCCCTTCTGACTAGTGGGGAATTGCTGAAGGGCAGCCCTTGATTATTATTTTCCTTCTTCCACTTCCCCCCCACCCTTCCCCCCAGCCTTTCTTTTTTTTTTTTCCCTTTTCTGTGAAATGTTAAATGTGTATGCAGCTAGGAAGGATTATCTGGCAGTCGGGATCAGTTGGTGATTTCCAGAGCTGGAGTGTTTTAGCTGAGCCAAGGAGGCCCTGATCAGACAGCCAGAGTAGCAGATAGCAGGGAGACTGGCGCCAGGCGGCCCCTTTTGTTTATCTGACAGCTAAATATCAAGGCAATCGCCGCTTAGCTGCCCTGCCTCCAACCCCCAGAGCTAAGACAAACAGTTTTGCTAAAAGAATGCCACTGTTATCATAAGTTCCTATCTTTTTTTTCTCATGGCTCTGCCTTTATTTTCTCTGTCCTTTTCTAATTCCAGAGTCTCCCCCTCCGCCCTACTCCAGATATCCAATGGATTTTCTCAAACCAACTGGTAAGTAGACC